TTCTTATAAGGTTGTAAGATAAATCCATAGTCACCACACACAAAGGTGTAAAGAAGAGAAACCTCTCAAATAATATTAAGCATGCATATTTGTCTCTTAAAATAATAAAACCCCTATATATAGGGAAAACCTATCCCAAATAGAATAGGCTTTAAATCCTACTTCTATGAAAACTTTAAACTAGGTAACTTTTAAACTAGGAAACTTTAAACTAGGAAAACAGGAAAAATTTAAACTAGGAAACTTTTTAAACTAGGAAAATTTTAAATTAGGAAACTTTTAAAATAAGAACTTTTGACTTTAAGCATTCAACTTTTTGGACTCTTTTATTGGGCTTCACGTAACCCAATCTTCTTTCTTTTGGGCTTGAATTTGGACATCTCTTTCGCAATAAACATATTCTCGATTTTGTATTTAAGCCTGTCAACTTTAGTACAAGTAGGCTGACATGGATGCTATCATTCCCCTCTTCTTGAAAACAATTCGTCTTCGAATTTAAATCTCTCAAAATCAAGACGACATGAATTAGCAAATAACATCCATTACTTGAATGCAACAATGGTAGGAACAAAACAAGATAGTGACCATGTGTCCACTTAATCCAATTAATCTTGACATGTATAAATACACCCTTATAAAGCATGTGAACATCATTATCCCAATAGAAAATTCTCCTACTTATATAAACACAACGAACTCCTTGTCTAGATGACATTGCGAATGATACATCCAACTTCAATTTAGCTCTATCAATAAAGTTCTCCAACGGACATGACAAAGACAATATAAAATTTCTATCAAATTGAACACTTTTGTGATATAACCAAGCATCTTCAATTATACCTCCCAAAGATTCTTCCACATAAATAGTAGTCACCCATTCTTCAATATACATTGTATCCAAATAAGAATTGAAGTGCTCATAATCATGTACCTCATCATCACTAGTAGCAAATACCCTTTTCAACTCACAATAACCAACACTTGAAGAATTATGACTCATTACATATATAGAATCATATTCCAACAAGTTATCACACAAAAACACTTGAACAAGAGAGGAAGAATCCTCAAACTTATTCACAAGCTCCCTCCCACAAACATCACACCTCTTTTTAACAAGTGAGAATCCATAATCGACTATATCATGCTCAATTTTAAAAGAGTTCGCATTACTCTTATTGAACTTGGCGATTGAAGTTAGTGACTTGTTATATAACAAAATATCATCATCATCAAAATCAATGAAGTCACCAACATAAGAATTATGAGTGTAGTTCATTACCTCCAAGAAGACTTTAGGTGTTTTAGGAATACCAAGAATGTGAATCAACCAATTATACATACCATACTTGGTCTTATGTAGCAAAGGAATAACATCACCTCGTTTTTCCTTTCTCATTGGTGTTAGATTCACAATTGCCTTGTTGAACTTTTTGTTATGAGCCTTATCTTGGACATATCCAAAATAATTCTTTTTACCTTTATCGTTCTCATCAACATACACTTTCTCAATATGACTTGTAGTATCAACCACTTTAGGATTAAGTACATCCAATGACTTTGGTTTTTCAATGCATACTTTCCCATGAGTATCTACGAGAGAGTCAAAACAACTAGAAGAAGAAGTAGGAATGCTAGAGTTAGAATAAGAAATAACCTTAATCAAACTCTCTTGTTTTTCTCTATCGACCTCACTATCATCCTTTTTTTTTCTCATGGTCGTCTCTCTTTTCTTTTCTCTCATTCTCACTTTTTTTCTCACTTGACAAACCATTCTCTTCACACAACACACCCTCTCCTTTTTCCTCTCTTGGAATGTCAGAATGATCTCCTTTTCTCCTCTCAATCTTTTCTCTCTCAAATTTCTTCATTGCCTCGTTCACTCGTTTCTAATCTTCATAAACTTGGGTTGGAGTTAAAGGTGCAAGTGTATATTTTGTTTTGTTTAGCTCAAGAGAAACTCTATTTTTCTCCTATCATAAAATTGCCTTATTAAATTGTCATGGCCGCCCAAGCATGATGTGACAATCTTGCATTGGAATGACATCACAATGAATATTATCGAAATATCTCCCAATAGAGAAAGAAATAATGCAATGCTTAGTCACCTTAATCTCACCAAAATCATTCAACCATTATCGCTTATAAGGAGTAGTGTGTTTAATGCATGTAAGTTTCAACTTCTCCACAACGTATGAACTTATCACATTAGTACCACTTTCACTATCAATAATCATAGAGCAAATATTATCATTTATCCCACACCTTGTATGGAAAATAGTTTCTCTCCTTAAATTAGCTATGGTGACATTCTTCTCCTTCAACCGTTTGGTCAACACATCAACACAATTAATGTCGTTTTGAGTTCTAGCTTCATTTTTCTTACCTTTTTTAAACATCTCAAAAAATATCAAAGAAACAAATATCTCTCAATTTGAATTTTTTGTCTCTCTATTGATCTCACTCTCTCTTGCCTTTTCCACTCAAATTAATACCTTTGGATGGATCCTTTAGAATTTATATATAAACCTTATTAGTAACAACCTTTTAGAAATAAGATGTAGAAAGAAAGGAATTTATCAATACCCAGATAAATTGGGATTGATGAGACAAGAAAAAAGACCACTTTTTAAAGCAAGAAAAAAAACTTCAAAAGTTCCCCTCTTCTTGATTTTCCTTTCTGAAGTAGAAAATCAAGAATCAAAACAAATATGGAGTTTTTTTGAAATAACTAATGGAATTTTCTTTTTCTTTTTTTTTATAATTTTTTTTTTTGTAATTTTTTTTTGGTGAACTTTTAAGCAACTAGAAAAGATTATTTTTTTGAAACTCCCAAGATTATCAACAACAGAACCTTGATAGAACCGCTATGACACCACTTGATAAGAATTGGGATACCATAATAAATAAGAAAATTATGCGGAAGCAAAATTATAAAGATTAAAGACATAAATTGAAAGATATGTGACATTCAAGAATAAAATCCCCAATTTCAAGATAAAGTGCTAAGAACCCTAATTGATCTTAGTATTCAAAATTAGTGGATTAAGACTAATTATAATACTAATAGAGTGAATTCAAGAGCTTAGATTAAAAGTGATCTAGACCCCTATTACAAAAAAATAGTGACAACAATTAGTATAAAATTAATCACCTTCTTTAATTTAGAATAGAAATATCAAATTAAGAATTAATCATACCTCTTAAAGAACCGTTCTTATTAGGTTGTAAGATAAACTCATAGTCACCACACACAAAGGTGTAAAGAAGAGAAACCTCACAAATAATATTAATTATGTTTGTCTGTCTCTTGAATTAATAAAATCAATCCCTATGTATAGAGAAAACCTATCTCAGATAGAATAAGATTTAAATCCTACTTTTATGAAAACTTTAAATTAGGAAAACGTTAAACTATGTAACTTTTAAACTAGGAAACTTTAAACTAGGAAAACATGACAACTTTAAACTAGGAAACTTTTTAAATTGAAAAAACTTTAAACTAGAAAACTTTTAAAATATGAACTTTTGACTTTAAGCATTCAACTTTTTGGACTCTTTTATTGGGCTTTGTGTGGCCCAATCTTCTTTCTTTTGTGCTTGAATTTGGACACATTTTTTGTGATAAATATATTCTTAATTTTGTATTGAAGCCCGTCAACTTTAGTACAAGTAGGTTGACATGGATACTATCAACCTCTTTTGTGCAAATAGAGAATCAAAAGGAATTTCAAGTTAAAAAAAATGGAGAAATGATTTAAAGACGTATTTTATGTGAAGGTAGGATTTCTAAATTTTGTTTTGTTTAACCCAACATAAATCAAGTTTTTTTTAAGAAGAAAAATTACATAATTTAAGATATCATAATTTTTAAAATTTTCTAACATAGAAAGAATTACAAAAAAATCCTCTCTCAGATAGAAACTCTATCCCTTCTCGGAAACATCTCTCCCCTCTCAGATACATCCCTCCCATTAGGGGTGTTCGTGGTTTGGTTTGTATCGGTTATTTGTTATGACCAAAACCAAAACAATATAGTCAGTTTTGAAATTTCTAAAACCAAACCAAACCAAACTCATAAATAACCGTCGGTTTGGTTCATTTTTTTTGTTTTTTTGTTTTTAAATTTGAAAGTAATATGTTTTTCATTTGAAAGTAATTTTTTTAGGTCATACGTGTCTCGATAGACACAAACACCTAGTTCATGAACAATCCACCGAAAAGCTACTGTGGATTCAATTAAGAAATTAAGTAATACTAGAGTTATTATTATTATTTATTTATTTTAGTTTCTGATCCGGTGTCTGGTACCCACATTGGAGCCTAGCTAAATTCAGATTCGCACCGAGAAGTCCCACATTAGGGGGTAAAGCGTTCCCTAACAAAGGCGACTCCGTAGCCAAGGGAGCTCGAACCCGAGATCTCTTTGTTAAAGATGAAGGAGTACTTACCATTCCACCACAACTCTTTTTATCTGAGGTAGGGTAGGTAAAGACTAAAAATATGAATTTTAATGGACTTGGACTTAGAGTTGTAACAGTTCGATTAAAATTTGAGTGTTGGATTTGTGAATATGATATTAAAGACTTAAGTTAAGTATATTTTATTTATAAATAATTATAAAATTTATATTTCTAATTCTTGGTTCAGTTTGATTATTTTTGCGATTTTTTTTTTTTGCGTAAAATCAAAACTAAACTAAATAGTATGATTTTCAAAATTTAAAACCAAACCTAACCAAATCAAATATCATTTTTTTAATCTATTTGTTTTTTTAACCTTAATCATAAACAACCCTACCTCCCATTAAGTAATGTATAATTTGTAATATATGAGACACGTAAAAAAATTGCATGTGATAGCAATGAAAAATCGAGAATTTTTGTATGCAATTATGAGATTTCTGTGAAATGTCCTTAAATAAATAAAAAAAAAGGTCATTAATTTCAACCCAAAACCCATGAATAATTTTTTCTTTAATTGAGAGGGGAGGTGTCTTTTTTTCACTACACTTGTCCGTATTCCATCCTTTATCTTCCTCTAATTTGTAAACTTTGAAGAGAAAAAATGGAGAAAATGAACCAGGCATTGGAGAAGATGAAAATGTTGGTGGGAATGGATGTAGAAGATGAAGAAGTAGCTCCTCAACAAGAATCTTCCTTTGCTTTCATGGATGATTTGAATCGCAACTGCACTTTGTCGACCAAACAGGTAACCCTTATTGGGTCATTTCATTTTCTCTTCAATCCCAACGTTTTACTTATTCTATGATCTTTGTCTTCATTGGCTACATATACTATTTATCTCTTTCTTTGCTTGTATTTTTGAGCTAAATTTCATATAAATTCATTATTGATATGAGTATGCGCAATACATACTTCAAATCGATCCCTTAAAATAACCTAAATAGCAAAAAACGTCCTTATGCATTCCTGTATCTGATATACTAGGAGTCCAGACCATAAATGCATATTCAAACTGTGAAACTATTTTGTGACTAGCTGATACGACCCATATAGATCTGTCTTGGGGAAACCTTTTTGGGGGTCCAGGTAGAAGTTCCTTGGATTTCTATTTCATAGCAAAATGTTTTAAAACACATATTCAACTTCCACATACTTCTTTTCCAAAAAAATTTCATGACAACTTTGATCAAATATTGTCTTAACAGTTCCTTTAATGATAGATAATTTTTTTCTTGGGATTGATAACTTGACATAAGTAAACTAACTTTTTGTTGACCAGTTTCTGTTTCAAAGTAGATGTACTCTAAAGGGGTTTGTACAAGTCACTCAATGCTATTAGGTTAAAAGAACTATTGTAAGTACTTTGTGTATGATGACTTGAATTTTGAGCTAGAACTAGCGAAATTTAGAAGAATGGAAGAAATTCTAGAAACTCCAGCAATGGTAAAATCCTGGAATTGTGCTTTTAACTCACATGACCTATCCTGTTTGGTGAAACACTACATGCTAAAGAAATATCCTTCTGGCTACTGGAATGCTACTCAAATAGCATAATGGGATGGTCACTGAAAATGAGTTAGTAGAGTTTTTCTAATAGACATTCCTGCTTAGCATATTGGAAAATGGAATATACTTGTTAACTAAGCAGTCTAAAAATGCTGTAGTTAGTACACCAATATTACTGAAAATATCTCTATCTAGGGATATGAGGAGCAGGTGTTTCTGTGACTCTATTTTAGACGACTTGATAAATAAAGCACTTGTATTGGGGGGAACAATAACTTTTAAGTTAAGAACTCAGGTGATCGTAATCCAAATGTGGACTCATTTGTTCCCCATTTACGGTTCAAGTTTGTATGGATCCTTGAGAGAACAAAGGAGAATAAATTCGACCAATGTAGAAAGTTATATACAGATGAATCTTCACAATCTTATCCCATCACCTTGAAGCTTTGTATGCTTCCCTTTCAACCTCCTTACAAGGTTCAACAATGCAAACTTTCCTGTAGGTAACTGAGAATGAATTGCTCAATTAGGATGGATTGTAAGTTAAAATAAAAAATGAAGTAACTAAATGATTTCGGAAGACACTACGACACAGTCAATTTGTTTGAATAACAAACTGTTTAATGTTGATCTCAAGAGGTTCAAGGTATCAAGAAATGATATGGTACTGCTGAATCCTGGTTTAATACTTTTATATTTATGGATGCCGATATACTTCCTCTGTCCCAATTAACGTGTCATACTTTTTCATTATAGTCTGCCCAAAAGGAGTGTCATACTTCCCTATTTAGGACCAATTTAACATTTAACTTCTTTTATTTTACCCTTTTTTTAGTTTATAGCCATATCCTTCTCAAAATTTTTTTATAGCCATATAAATATCTAAAGCATTTTTTAGACTACAAGTTTCAAAAGTTAGTCTTTCTTAAACTCTGTGCCCAGTGGGATTTCACTGGGTATGTAGTCGTTGTTGTGTATAGTTGGCATTGAAGAAAACATGCAGTGGATGTAGTTAGTAATTTCCAGTATGAGGAGGCAGGGGGTGATAGAGAGGGAGAGAGCTTTGAGTTTTTTTTTTTTTGGATAAAGTTAGATTTCATTACAAACAATATCAAGATGATACTCAATTCTCCCCAGACCCACTTGTGGGATTACACTACACTGGCTATGTTGTCGAATCAAGATTGTGAAAGTACTGAGAAAATGCAGGCTAGATTACATTAGAATCCTAAGCAATCTAGCATGTCCACCTTGTTATTTAAATTCATAACAACATTTCCATCTTTCCAATAGTACAGGTGGTGCAAACAACTATATTTCACAGTCTGCAACTGCTCCTTTTTGCCTTCAAAACACTTCTTATTTCATTTTTTTTTCATATAGTCCACGCTATGCTAAGATGAATAACTCTCCAGATCTTCTATAAGGATGCATCTGGACATGCAGTTTCCCAGCACTCTAACACATTCCTGAACGCCGTAGGACTTGTTTAATGGATGAAAAAGTTATCTATGAACACAGTCCACATCTGCCAAGTAAATTTACAATGCACAAAAATATGGTTCACAGATACACAAGTAGCCTTAGTTGCTCGGACTCGGGTGCGGGTGTCCGATATGAGTGTGGATCTACAGGTCGCATCCTTCATGATCTACTTTTAACATTCGGGAATATGGATTCATGTAATGGATACGGGTGTGGGGATTTGCCTAAAAATAATTAAAATATCTAAAACTATAGTTATAAAACCTAAATTATGAGATATTAGGTGGAGAACTTGAGGAGAATCTTGGAAGAAGATTACAGGAAAAGGAGTGACATAGAAATTTCTATATAAAAGGTATTCCATTTTCTTCAATTTCATGTTAGCTTTTGTAGTGATAACAGAATTCATTAAGACTACCCAGACTTTCCCCATCAATTTTAGTCAAAGTACCCAAAATCGGTTGACCAAATCGGACACGGATCCTACACCCACACCCACACCCACACCCACACCCATGTCGTGTCGACATGGGTGCGGCACCAAAAGTGAAGAGTCCGAGCAACTTAGCAAGTAGCATCTGCTGCACAGTATCCAACCCTTTTTATTCAAATTTTCGTGTGTTAGACATGCTTCATGAGAAACTAGCCAACCAAAGAAGCCAGCTTTTGTTGGGACTGTAGTCTTCCAGATCATCCTCTAGGGCGACTTTTGTACTCGCACTGGTTGAATAACAGTTAGTATTTTATAGAATGGGCTGACAGTAAAAGAACCTTTTTTACTCACTTCCCAGGCTAGGCTATCGTTTCTATTTGGAATTAACCCTACTAATTGCATCTTTTGGATAAATGAATCAACTACTTGCAGTTCCTGTCAAAGAGATTCTTTCTGTACTGGAAATTCCATCATGAATCAATAAATATATCAGCTAAGAGGACTTCCGGATTATAGGTCAATGTGTACAATTTGGGAAATTGATTTTCAGCAAACCTTAACCATCTAATTATCTTCCCAAAGTCTAATCTTTTTCCCGTTGGCTACCCTCAAACAACATACTTGTTGAATCCTTCCAGAGATTGCAAATCTGTCTCTAAACAGCTACTCCATATGGAGTCTTCACTGCTTTAGGTGCCCCAAAGCCTTATCTTCCATAAATCACCTCTACCACTGCTTTCCAGGAACCTTTTTCCCATCATATAACCTCCATAGCCATAAACATTGCAAGTTTTGATAGTGAGCTCTAAGATTTCTAACTCTCAGATCCCCTTCCTTCTTGTGATTTGTCGCAATACTCCATTTTACTAAATGAAACTTCCTTCTTTCTGCATTACCTTACCATTGGAATCGCCTTCTGATCTTTCTTTTTTTTTTTTTTTTGAAATTGGTAACGTCGAAAATTGCCTTCTGATCTTATCAATATTCTTCTCCACACTAGCTGGCATGGGGATCAGAGACATTAGATAGGTTGCAATGCCATCAAGAACACTATTTTCTTATGTCAATATACCCCAAATGATAGGTATTGTTGTTTCCAAAGAGCCCACTTTTTCCATTTTACCTACTGTATTTGATACAACATGGGTTTTGATTATTTAACCAATTTTTGCATTAAGCATTGATGTGATGTATTCAGATTTTGGATGAAAACCAAAAAGTGAAAAACAGTCCAAAAATAAATGAAAATACTATAACATAGTAATTAGAGGTAGGTAAATTAGTATGTCAATCAGAAATGTTCATGTGAAATCTTAATATCAAATTGTCTAATATGATGAGCTCCTAAGTTGCTCGGACTCGGGTGCGTGTGTCTGATACGGCTGCAGATCTAGAGGTCAGATCCTTTATGATCTAATTTTTAAGATTCGGAGATATGGATTCATGTATGGATATGGGTGCGGAGATTCGCCTAAAAATAATTAAAATATCTAAAAATAGAGTTGTAAAACCTAAATTATGAGATATTATGTGGAGAACTTGAGGAAAATCTTGGAAGGAGATTAAAGGAAAAGTAGTGACATAGAAATTTCTATATAAAAGATATTTTATTTTCCTCAATTTCAGCTTAGCTTTTGTATTCATTACAGTAATCATTATAACTGTCTAGACTTTTCCCATCGATTTTGGTCAGAGTACCCAAAATTGGTTGATCAAATTGGGCACGGATCCCACACCCATGTTGTGTCGACACGGTTGCGGCACCAAAAGTGAAGAGTCTGAGAAACTTAGATGAGCTCCAATATAAAGTTGATAGGATAGGGCTAAGTCAATAATCTTTACATAGATTAGGATGGGCCTTGTTGAGTGAACATAAATGTATGTTATAGGGATGAGCCTTTTTGAGTGAACATAAATGTATGTTATAGTGTCAGTCACATGTGTAAATCCCCAAAGAAACATGTTTGCTATAAGCTTTAACAGTTGGCCATCTTTGGACAATTTGGGAACCAAGTACCGGTGGTAGTTAAAAATGAAAATAAGGTATAAGACATCTTCATATCTTCCTCACATGTCATGTTGGACATTGCATTGAAGCACGTTGCAGCATTTTAAATCACAACATTGTTTTATGATGATGTTTTATGGCACTTTAAGTACTTTGAAGGACCTAACCATTTAATACTCATTAGACATAGCTATATATAGAAAAAATGAAGAATCCTTGTAAGATAGGCACCAAAGACGAGAGGATTCTGGACAATCTAATGGCCTTGGAAGATGATATGGAAAATTAGTGTACCTCACAAGGTGGCTTGTTTCACCTGGTTGGTAGCTAGGGAAGCAGTACTATCTCAGGACAATCTAATGAAAAAGGGGAAGACTGTTATGCTCCAGGTGCTTTTTTAGTGAGATAGAAACAGAGACAACAAACCATCTCTTCCTCCATTGCACAGTGACTGTGGCAGGTCTTTTTGAATTTGAGGGGAATCAGTTGGTCCATGCCCATGCCAAGACACACCTCAGATTTACTAGCATGCTGGAATAGAGAAGGGAATACATCAGATCACAATGAGAGATGGAAGATTGTCCCCGCTTGCATCTGGTGGACAATTTTGAAGGAAAGGAACCAGAGATTCTTCGAAAAGAAGAGCATCCCTTTCCAGAGTTTGAAGTTGAACTGCCTTATAAACCTTTATATTTGGTGTAAGTGTGTAACCATGTCCTCCCCAAAGAGGTGGAGGCTATTACTCACTTTTTAGATAGTTTAGGAGGGGTATAGATGATAGAGCTTTTGGTTTTGCTTACTGCATACTCCTGATGTAATTACTACTGAAATACACCATTGTTGCTGTCTATAAAATGCTAACTTAGAGAGGATTCACAAATGCTGGATAAAGGGCCTGGAAATTCTCAATCCCTAATGAACGGACTTGTTAATTAACTTAATTTTATGCAGACACGTGGATTTAGTGTGTATTGACTTGTGAACAGGATTTTCTCATTATTCAGTTTTCTTTATCGGGTTTCCATATTTCCTCTCTCCTTTTAGTAAGCCACCTATATGATCAGTAATGGGCTAAAAAGAATCTACTTTGTAATGAGTACAACATGAAAAATGTTCAAGAAAATATAACACGTGCTTTTAGTGAGATTTAACCAAGAAGAACTAACTATGGTGATCAGTGGAAATGCCCACTGTCCGTTGGTCTGTTAAATCTTCTTTATTCATCTTAGATGTGAGGCTTCAGTACACCTACACTGAATTTTCTTGCATAAATTGAATTGGGAAACTAACTGCACTATGATATATGTAACCAGTGACCAACTATGCTCAACTTTTTTCTTTTCAACAGAGGCTTTATGGTTTTGCTATATGCTTAACAACTGGTATCGCCTGTACTCTCTTGGTGAGTTTCACTTCTCTAATTCCTTTCCTGCTTTCATTGCCGTGTCTAGTTTTTTTAGGATCTTGGAATGCATTACATGGAGTCAGCGATGCGTAACCTATTGGTTCAACTTTTTCCAGTCAAAAATAATTTATTGCTTTATTGGTGACTGTTGCAGTGGGCTTTTGTCGTGTTGTAACTTATCTTTATAGATGCTTGGCTTTCAGACTTTACATGCTTGTCGCTTTCAGCTCATTAGCTAAAACAGTATTTTTTTGAGTGATTCTGCTACGTTTTGAATTGTGATACAACTCTAACCTGGTGTTGTTATACCTAATGGGCCTACGGAGGATGCTTCACTTTCTTTATATTCTTCCTTTAAAATTGTCATAGTTTTTGGCAAGAGTGATGATTTGACGGAAAGAGATAGCTAGATTTAAGACTAGAATCTATTGTCGTATACCATTTCTTATGTTGTCTGTGGGAGCAGGATGGATTTAATTCTTGGTAGTATTGTTCTAATGAAGATATCTGGATTTGGTGCTTTACAAATGTATTACAGGAGACAGGAGTAAAGGGGACTAGCCTTTTCTTTTCCAACTTCTTCATAACAATGATGAGGAATTAAATCCTTGACCAATGTATTTCTTGCTTTGTTGACAAATTATATTTATTTTGAGAAGTTAATATTTTGCAGTCTGGGTTTTTTTGGTCATAATTATTGGAGATATTATGTGCACTACCAATGATTTCTTGTGTACAAATTTGTTCAGAACTAATGGTTAAATCTAACTGGACATTAATCTGAAGGATTTTTTGTTGAATAACATCAGCTTATCAGCAGTCAATTTTTTTTTTTTATAGTTAGCTTATTAGTTCTTTTGTTCTTCAATGAAGTGTTCACTTGCTAACTTATTTTCTTGGTAGTGTAATTTTTTTTCTATAGTATAATCTTTTTCAGTTTTTCAGTATCAGTTTTTATAGAATAATCGTACGGTTGACATAAGATCTCATGCATATGTAATTATTTTCTTTATGACAGTCAATGCTGGTTTTCTTCAATCCAATCAAGTTTGGAATAACATTTTCTTTTGGGAATTTGCTTGCTCTTGGAAGGTCTGTTATAACATTCTCTATTTCCATTTGTTTTGTATGATGCATGTTTTGATTTTTGTTGATAATGACATAAAATTTTATGAAATGAAGGGCGAAAAGTTCATCCTGAGCCAAGATCGAACTTCCCATCAGATTCATAGTTGCATTACTTATAGCTTCCTTGTTTGTAGACTTTGTGGATTCAACACCCATGTACAAGAAGTATATCAAAAAGTAGAAAATGTGAGCTTCTACAAACAACACCCAATGTTCTATACAAATAGGAACCTTGTGGGTGCACCAAAAAGAAATCAGATAAGAGGCTATTCTTTAAGTATACCAGGTCCTTCTATATTCCATCATTCCCATCAAAAGCTTCCCTATTTTTCTCTTTCCGTACAATCTACATAAGCGCTAGTGGAGCAACATCCAAAGCCCTACATCTTCTCTCCTGTCTTGTACGGATACAAAGCAATGTTTCTTTAACTGTTCCTGACATCACCCATTCAAGTCCAGATGTTAGGAACGGTTAAGTGAATTACTGTTGAAATCCCATCAAAGCATTTGTTATTTCCTTCTTTCCAGATGCACCAAAAAATTGCTGCTGGACTCAATCACCAGATCTTCTTGATTGATTTGTCAACTCTCCGAAAATTCCAGCTTGTCAAAGCATCCTTGATAGTGTGTGGTGTGACCCATTGCAGACCGAAAATAGGCAGAAAAGAATTCCAGATATTCTGTTGCAAATGGGCAGTGTAGTAGGAGATGACTGACTCTCTCCGAGTCCTATAGCCACATATAACATCTGTTGACTATGACAATGTTTTTTCATTTGAGATTGTCCTGGGTAAGAGTTACTCCATTTAGGTCCAGGTGAGGCAGGTGACCTTTAGTGGAAACAATCGACATGACTCTACATCATTTTCTTAGAGCGTTGATTCTCCAATAGAGGTTCTTATTCCTTTATCCTTTAAAAATTGGCTGCGTCTTCTTTGTCTTTGTACTAATTTTCTTGTGTGACAAAGATATTCTTTTTTTTTAAGATGGTGGTGTCCGGGCCAATTTGTACGCATCTCGACTATTCTACTAGGTGCTTGCTATCTCCCACCAGCACATGTAGAGGGTAACTCCGCCATCAAAGCTTAGATGGATGAGAAGAAATCACCTAGTGTTATTTTGCTAGGCTTCTTACATAAATGTACCATCAACCAATTCTTTTTTCCAACTAAATGGCCACATGTATATGTAATGTATCGATATTGTATAAATAGTGTATAACCATGCATATATGATGTATAGCTATGTATAAGAGATCATAAGGGGATTGGCAAAGTCAACAAATCCTGATGGTTGCTCCATATACACCTCTTCTGCAAGTTCTCTGTGAAGGAATGCATTTTTTATGTCTAGCTGGAAAAGGGGGCAATGTTTCATTGCTGCCATATAGATGAGAAGATGGACAAAAGCCATCTTGGCAACTGGTGAAAAAGTATCTCCATAGTCAATGCCATAAATTAGAGTGTATCCCTTAGCAGCTGTGTCTCACTTTGAGACAATCAATAGCTCCATCTGAACCTACCTTAACTTTGAATACCCAGTGACAACCAACAAGAGTTTTGCCTTTCAGTAATGGAACAAGCTCCCAAGTACCATTATCATGCAAAGCAGTCATTCCCTCAATCATAACGTGATGCCAACCTGGATGAACCAATGCTTCTGTGACAATCTTGAGAACTTTGACAGTGGATAAGCTAATAATGAAGGCTTGATATGAAGGTGACAAGCGGTGATAATTTAAATAAGTATAAATGGGGCCTTGATTGATAGTAGTTCTAGTACCTGTGTGAAGAGCAATGGGAAGATCATTTGATGAGTGCTTGACCGAAGCAGGAGACATTGTTGGAGTAGGTAATGAGTCACCAAGAGTGCTTTGTTTACCTGTATTAGAGTTAGAAATACTAACTGGATTAGCAGGCTCAAGGAGGTTGAGGTCATCGGAAATATACCTTAAGAGACAGAGGTGAAGCGGGGGGTGGAATAGTTGGAACTGGAAGGACTGTTGATATAGTCTTTTTATTTTCCGTATGAGGAGAAAAATATGGAGAAGACTCGAAAAAAGTAACATATGCAGAGATCAAATACTTATTAGTAGTAGAGGGGTCAAAGCATTTGTATGCTTTTTGTAGGCAAGAATAAACGAGAAAGACACATTTAAAAGGCTTGTGCTGAAAGTTTATCTTTTCCGGGGGTAAGGTTATTAACCAAACATGTGCAACCAAACACACTTAGAGGAAGGGGGAATGAATTTTGGTCCGGATAGAAGATTGAGTGTGGATTCCTGTACTGCAAAACAAAAGAAGGCATATGATTGCTTAAATAACAGGCAATAACAATGGCATCACCCCAAAAACGTACAGGGACATGATTGTGAATAAGCAATGTCTGAGCTATTTCAATTAGATGTTTGTTCCTACACTCAACAAGTCCATTTTGTTGAGGAGTATGTGCACAAGAAGACAAGTGCAATATGCTCTGGTGCTCTGGGATGACATAAAAGAAGAGAGAAATGGAGAAATATTCTCGAGCATTATCGTTGATTAACTTGTTAATGGCAATACCAAATTGATTGCAAATTTCAACACAATATCTTTGAAAGATTTAGAAAATAACTCATATCTATTTTTTATTAAAAATAACCATGTGCATAGAGAATAATCATCAATAAAAGTCACAAAATAATGAAAGCCTAAGGAAGAACTGACACAACTTGGACCCCATATGTCTGAATGAACAATTTCAAACGTAGAGGTGGCCTTATTATTGACGTGCTTTGGGAAAAAGGCACGAGTGTGCTTCCCAAGCTGACACGACTCACATTCTAACAAAGATAAACTGGGAACCATTTTCTGCATTTTCGAGAGACTCAGATGACTTAGTTGATTATGGAGCAATTCAGAGGAAGTAGCAGAAGTGAAAGCAACATGTGATTGTGGGATGGATAGCAAGTACAATCCCTGTGACTCATGTCCTTTTCCAATTATCTGTCCTGTACTCCGGTCCTGCATAAGAACAGAATCACCAAGGTAGATTACAACACATTTCCGGTTTTTGGTTAATTTGCTGATGGAAAGAAGATTATATGGGCATGCAGGTGTTAAAAAGGCTGATTTTAAAGGTATGGAAGGCAGAGGGTGAGCTATACCTATCCCTTCTAGAATAATCTTTGATCCATCAGTCAAAGTAACAGTAGAGTGGATAAGGGGTAATAAGAGTAGAGAGATAATTTTTGTTCCCAGAAATATGGCCAGAAGCACCAGCAAGAATACATTGTTCCTGAGATGAAGACTATGCGACATAAGCAAAGGAGTTACCGGGTTGCATTGTGCAAGCAACTGATGAAGTTGATGACTGTTGCCTTCATGCTTGGTACTGAAGGTAGTCATTATAGTTTGCTCCAGTTAATGTGATAGATTGAGATGATCCATCCCTAACATCAGGTGTGGGCAAAATATCGTCTCCATTATAAGCCACATTTGTTGCATATCAAAGGGCGGTCATTATTGCGTGGAGGTATTATTTATCACCAAAAAGATATAGAAACCAGCAGTAGCAGAGTAGAACAAAACTGACAGATTTTTTTTGTTTCTTTGATTCTGTTTTGCAGAATCTGTTTTTGGAGAAAAAGAAGGAAATTAGAGAAATGAGGGCTCTGATATGATGACAAATAAAAAGGAGAATAGAATAGAATTTGGGAATTAGTGTCTTGCTTATTCTTTCAAGTTAGTGGGATTAATTAGTGTTACAAAGAATGTAAATAAAGGAAGGAAACTAATAAGAATATTACATAATCTCCTAATTGCCTAATTATAGGGATTGATGATATTCTCACATCTACACTGTCTAATAAGATACCATATTTAATACAATTAATTTGATACCTAATATAGAGCAGCTGATACAAATTCTGGGTATAGTAGGTGACCTGCCTTCAGTATACCTCGGCATGCCTTTGGAACCAAAATCAAGGTCCATAGAAATCTGGAATGTAGTTCAGGAGAAGTGTGAGAAGTTGTCAAGGTGGAAATATACTATCCTTAGGAGGCAGACTTACCTTGATAAACTCTATAATAGATGCACTACCAACATATATGATGTCTGTATCATATACCCCAGGCAGTTACACAGAGGCTGGATGTAACCAGAAGATGATTTCTTTGGCAAGGTAATAAGGAAAGGTTTCCATTTAGTTATATTGAAAAAATATTATTAGAAGGAAAAATCAAGGGGGATTAAGTATCAAAAACCTCAAGCATCAGAGTAAAGCTCTCAAGGTGAAGTGATTATGGAGGTATGCCCATCAAAACTAAATATGGGTTTTGGATAAGTGGGTCTCTCAAGAAGTTACCACCCTGTATAGAGTTGGTCTCTGGAGAACCATTAGATCCTACTGGCCTTCTCTGGATAGTAAAACTGATATTAAGGTATTCAATGTAACAAAACACTTCTCTGGACAGACAGGTGGATGAGTTCTACTCACTAAAGGCTTTTTTCTCAGATATTTTTACCCTGGCCCAACAACAGAGAAAGACAGTGGCTGAGATGTGGAATCATCAGGGTTGAGATTTATGACTCAGAAGACCTTTGAATGATTGAGAGGTTTCTGGATTGATTGAATTATACAAGTTTTTGGAGACATTTCAAGGATGAAGAAATGGAGGGGACTGCTTATGGTGGAAGGGACATGGCAAAGGTGTGTACAAGGTGAGGGATGGGTATAAGATCTTAAACCAGATTGAGCCACAAAATACCAACTGGCCATGAAAGCATATTTGGAAAATCTAAGTATCTCATAAAGTAGCATGTTTTACTTGACTTTTAGCCTATGAGGCTGTTCTTACTCTTGATAATGTTGCGAATAGAGGGATATCTCTTTGCTCAAGATGTTTTTCATGTGGAAGGGATGTTAAGACAATCAGCCACCTGCTTCTAATCCTGTTTAATCTTTTGACCGTCCGTCCATCTTAATGTTTACATCTCTGCAACACTTATCTTGTGAATATGTTAGGCTTTGTCAGCCCAACATTTACCATCTTATGTATTTTTTGAAGACTTGTATCCGATGATATTTCGCTGTAACCTTCTTTGTCAGCCCAACATTTACCATAAGACAATAATTTTGGTGTTGTACTTCTTTGTTTCTTGCAATGGAGTATAGCCAAGAAGCATCTCTGTACGTTAATTCCTCTCACCAAATGCAAACCAAAAACAAATTTCGGGTGTTGTAGGCAGGAAAACATTTTTCAGAAAATATTTTCCATTTCTCCATGCTTGGTTGATCAAAATATTTTGGAATTTTCTTTTAGAAACACAAGTTCCTTAAAAATGAGGACAATGATTTCTCTAATGGAAGTAGGGATAACAAGTTCCGTAAGTGACATTACAAGTTCATTGTCTTCTAATTTAATTTGGTGTTGGTACTTCTTTGTTTCAAGTATAGCCAAGAAGCATCTCTGTATGTTCCTTCCTCCCACCAAATGTCAAGCCAAAAACAAATTTAGGGTGTGGTAGGGAGGAAAACATTTTCCATTTCCCCATGTTCGGAACTATTCTGGAATTTTTTTTTTCTAGCAAAACAAGTTCCTTAAAAATAAGGAAAACGACCTCTTCTTATTCTCTGCCCCATCTCACCCCCATAGTGTTTTGCTAGCTTACATATAATAACTCTTGGGATAACTGTTTTTGCTTACTTTCTGAACACAAGAAAATAAGTATAAAGTTTCTAAGAAATATTTTCTAGGAAACCATTCTTAGTTGTGTACCATACACACTTAGTTTCCATTCCCAACTAGGAGTCTCATATATGTTGAGAAGTCAGATACCCTTTCATTATTCCTTTCCACACACAAAACCCATAGAGTTTCTTAACTTTTTAGTGAACCAACCATTTTCCTTTCTTCCATACTTAAGTGCAATCACCTCTCTCAATAAAGCCTCTCCCTCATTCTTAAACATCAAAAATTACTTCCGAAGGAGAGGTCTGTCCGATTTAGAAATGTTTCAGACTCTGACCTTCCTTAAAAGGAGTCACCACGTTCTTTCGTTCATATTTCCTTTCCCACTACTCCATAACATAGGAAACCTCTAATCTTACTTCCCTGATCTTCTGATGAGAGGATAGAATAGGGAACAAGGATATGTAGTACGCAAGGATGCTACAGAGAGTAGACTTGATAATGATAATTTCCTCACTTTTAAGATTTGTTGTGTAATATATAGCAATCCAAAACCGGGATTTCTGCTTTTTTTTAATACCATTTTGTGTTTCATCTTCACTTGGATTTTTTTTGGGTGGCAGCACAGCGTTCCTCATAGGGCCTAAACGACAAGTGACAATGATGCTTGACCCAGTTCGTATATATGCCACTGCCATTTATATAGCAAGCATTATCATTGCTCTGTTTTGTGCTCTATATGTGAGTTACTGCATCAGTCACATTTTTTAGTTTCCTCATTTTGGGTTTCGACAAACTTTCCATTCTGTGTCTCATCTACATTTTGCTTGCATCAGGTGCGGAACAAGCTACTGACACTGTTGTCAATTATATTGGAGTTTGGTGCACTTATCTGGTATGTCAGACTGTAGTCATTCTGGTTCAGTCTTGAATAAACATTTTGCGTTAATAATTTTGAGAATTTGAATAAACTAGTATGTTGAGAAGTTGTATATGTAATTTTATTGATGAACATGTAACCTTGTGTGTAGCACGCTGGTAATAATCTTTTTTTTTTTTTTTTTGATGACAAGAGAAACCCGCAGCCGTTACCCTTTGGGTGCGCACAGGGTAAAACCCCCGCTCCTATGCAATAGCTCGCAAACCACATAGGAGAGGTAACCCGCACTAGGCAAGCCTGGTGCGACGAGCTCAACCCAGAAGGCAAATCCCTTGCTTTCGTTAGCAAGGGGTTTCGAACTTGAGACCTCCAACATGAAAGTCCGAAGCCCAAACCACTGGGCCACCCCGAAGGGTGGTAATAATCTCTTATTTAGCAACTTTTGCATTTGGGTCAAACTTAGGGCAGATAGGAGCATTAGCTTAAAAATAAAAAGCTTTGCCCTTATTCTGGATCTGCATCTACTCGACTTTGTTATCTTTCTAAGATTGTCAAATTGTAAATATAATTTCTTTATACTTGAAAGTTCATGCTCTTTTGTTGCATTACAGGTATAGTTTGAGTTACATTCCTTTTGCAAGGTCCATGGTCTCCAAAGTGATGATGGCTTGCTTTGATACAGAATTCTAGGGTTGTATTACTCTGAGGGAAGAATTATACATGCAAATATGTACAGTGTACATTCGGCAAGTTTGCACCACTTGCAACAACCAGCAGGTGTTTTAATCCATAGAAGGGGGGTTAGGTGAGTGCACCTTTGGTCAAATGAAGGTCTTTTGATTGAAATGTGTTGTTTATTAAACGAGCTAACTTCTGATCCTATGTAACACCTAAATTTTTCTTCTTCAAAGTAAATGGAGACTATCGAGTTGGGTATCAAACGGTGGTTAGGTTGGTCAAAAATTTGGGCAAATGGGTTGCTATAGTAAATGTGTTGCCAATGTTTACATGGGTTAGGATGGGCTGAGCAATGAGTTAGTTATAATTCAATTCACCCAACTTTATTCAATGTTTCATTTATTTGGTTTTCCCATTATTCGTATTAAAACTTCAAATTTGTGATGATTTAATTTCCCCTAAATAAATTAAGTTGGTTTTTAAAAAAATATTGAAATGAAACTAAATCACTTGGGGTATATTTTTCATTGCTACAGTTGTATAAAATATATGATAATGTACTTTGAATGGCTTGATTCATGCCATGTGTACAATACAAGACATTCATTTAAATTATATACTCATCATAACTATTATAAAGGGATAAGGGTCTGAAAAATACCCTAACTTTGGTCGGATTTACTGTTGCGATATTAAACTTTCATGAGGATCTATTACCTCCCTAGACTATTTAATACCGTATTTTAAACATATATATTTGTCCACGTGGACATAAAAAATAATGCAAAATTATAAATAGTAATGTGTTCACGTGGGCACATATATATCTTTAAAATATACTATTAAATAGTTCAGGGGTAAAAATTATGATATTAAACAGTCTAGGAAGGTAATAGGTCCTTGTGAAAGTTTGGTATCGCAACAACAAATTCGACCAAAGTTGGGGTATTTTTCAGACCCTTATCCCTATTATAAACAACAACTATTTTTAGTTTTTAAAACTATCAAATAAAGAAATTAAGTGCACCCTAGCTAATCAATTTCTCAAAAAACAATAAATAATAAATAAGATTGGCAGGAATATGTGGATTTCTCGTTTTTTTTTACCCACCAAACATCGCATCTTTTGGGAAGATCATACCTATAAATAAAAGATATGCATTCATTTGTTATACGTATCTTTTTTTTTTTCCTTTTAAGAAATCTAAGAGTTTCAAGACGTGAAACAATGATTCTTTTCAAATACAAGGTTTGGTTTTGTTCTCTTCTTTACTTTTAATTTTAGTTATTGTTTGAACTTATTAAGTTTGATTCCTTTCTATATATTAAAGTTGATTTTTTGTTTGATCTAGTAGTATATTAAGTTGTGCAAATTCTTCACTTTCAATACGCACTCTTGTGTTGGATTTTTAAAAATTAGTACAATTTTAAAGAATTCGAACAAATATATTTTTATAATTATTTGAAAACCTCCAAATAAGTTTTTTAAAATGTATTATCATGTTCTTTGGTTGAATTATTATTTAGAACTCAACGATATTTTTGAGTTTGATCTTTTCTTGAAGTATATATACTTGAGAATTTGGAGAAAGCATGTGTGAAATTACACCTGAAGAAGTTTTACAAAGGAACTCTCAAGTTGGTGTTGAGTTTGATAGTGCACTTAAATTTTACAATGAATATGCAAAGAGAGATTGGTTTTGGTGTTGGCAGAGAGTATGTCAATACAAATAAAAAATTACGAAGTTCAAGCTCATGAAATAGATTTAGCAGAGGCTGCGCAACATTTGATTGTATGAGTAGAATAAATTCAAGTCAGATCAGAAGAGCTATCGTCGTACAATACAAAGGGGAAGCAGGTAAATTAACTTACAAACAATATTTATTTTCTACTAAGTTCTAATATTGAAGAAATGGTAAATATATATTTTTTGTTTCTTCCAGAAGTGTGTTAGAATATTTCGAGAATAAGAGAATTGATGTCGGATGTTGATGATATGATGACAAATATATTTTGGACGGTTTCAAAAATGATAATTTTTGGCCAGACGAATAGAGATTATAGAGCCTTGGCTAGTTTAGTTGGATTGAACAAAAAATTGTTGTTTTTGGAGGAGCTTTAATGTACGATGAGACTTCAACATCATTGTTTGAGACATTTTTCAGAGTAGTGTCCGAAAGAAAACCAAAAACATTTTTTACCGATCGACGACCAAGTTGCTGCTATATCACTTGTGATACCTGAAGTCCATCACATTAATTCACAGGTTATGTGTTTGGCATATCGAACAAAATAATGCAGCTTTTCGTGGTGATTTTAGAAGATGCATTTATTTATGAATATGTAGTTGTTTGGAATACTATGCTTATGTTTGAGAAAATATAACCGCGTGGTTCCATGCATTGAGGGAAAAATTATTTCAGGTGGTATCAATAGCTAGCACACAATTCAGTGAAAGTTTGAATGTCGATTTGAAGCCTCATTTTACATTTATATCCTCCAACTTTGGGTTTGCATACTTAAATTTGCAACACGTATGTCCGGCGTAATATTCTACATGGAAATTTGTGTCCTACTTACATGTATTATGACATGTAGGACTCATGTTTCTACTTGTTCAACTTTATGTGTCTACTTGTGGACACCCAAAGTTGGATTGCATATATATAAAATAAGAATTCACATTAGTAGAACCCACTTAGCTCCGCCTCTGGATATATATATATATAAGATAGCAGTAGCATGTGGAAATGAGTTAGGTGCAAATTAAAGCTGAAGCAAATCATGAAGGTGACAACTCCGTCTCCTTAAACTAGAAGAAAATATTACTAGTAAAGATATTCTCACAATTAAGATCCAAAAATAATAAAATATAGAAAGCAACAGAAAAAGATCGAGGGTCAAAGGTTGTCTTGAGGTGAACTCAAAACACAAGAAAGTTGAGTTTGCTAACCAAAATGGATCGATATATAGGACACAATTTCATAATGCAAATACTTTCAATCAATTTTCTCTTTCCAATATTTAGAATTGCCCAATTATATTTGCTATATCTGTTTTATTAATCGATAGGATTTAATATCAAAGGGAAGTGTTTTCGAGAATTCCGATTTAAGTGCATATCAACACATGTCTTGTGCTGACTTATCCCATAATTCATAATTTTCTCTTTTTATATGATGAAATGTCCTAGCTTTACTCAAATGCTAATTACGGTGCTATTTTTTGAACTAAGGTAAAAAAATATGTATATCATTTTCAGTTAACTACATTTTTATCACTTGTGCATGAACCTTCCTCTTATACATACTTTAGCACATTCACACAAGTCTTATTCACTTCCTCGTGATCAGGTTCATATTGGATGAATCCTTTTATTTTCATTTGTTAATGTACACATTAAACTGTTAACATTTTAAAATTATTTATGTTTTGCAGGCAAACCTTTTTGAGAGTCAAGGATAACAAAAGTTTCAAGATAATATTACATTATGATCTATGCTAAATTACGTTTTCAGAACTTTCTTCTTTGCAGTAGTAGATTATTGCATTATTTCATTTTCGTTAATACTCTTTCTCTTTTTTGTTGTGTATTACTTTGCATTTCGAATTATTTTGTTGTTATTGCTCTCCTATATGTATCCCCTTTTTTCGAACTATTTGGTAGTTTTTATTTAAGGTTAAGGTCTAACGGAAACACTCTCTATCTCTACGAAATAGGAATAAGTTCAACGTACGTTTTACCCTTTTTAAACTACATTGGATATGTTGTTGATGAGCATCATTTCTACTCAAGTTGATTGGACACATAAAGGATGCTTGGTACTCATATTTTTTTTCCAATACTTGCAAAATGAGTGATAAAAAGGAGGGATGTTGTGAATTCTCAGTAACAAACTTGCAGCATTGGTATTGTCATACTTGTGAAAAATTAATGCATATTTTTTATTGATAGGTATGATCTTCTCAAAAGGTATGAGGTTTGACAGGTAAAAGAGTCAGGAAGTCCGCATATTCCCGCCAGTCTTAATTTTTTTTTTTTTTTTGAGAAATTTATTGGCTAGGATGATTAATTGCTTTATCTGATAGTTTTAAAAAATAATAATAGTTGATGGCTTTATTGTTAATAATGCGTATATAATTAAATGGATCACAATCATAAATTATTGTATAGTACACATGACATGAATCTATAAGGCCATTGAACATTAATTGACCTAATTATACTTGACCAGAACAGTATGCATTATAATAACACTTGAACGTTTGGAAATCTTCCAAATCGCCAGCCTTCACAGTGACTGTACGTACTTTTTTTCTTGCTTTGGCATTATCCCATTAACATTGTCACAGTGTCCCATACAATTTAACACACGTATCAATTATCATCAACGAGTGAAGAACTTTATTTCGTATTAAAAGCATCATGCCTAATAGCTTAAACATAGGCATTCTTTTGGATGCAAGAGATTATGTCATGGAATGTTGTACACGCGTTCAATAGAAAAGGATCAACTTCTTTCTTGTTTTAGTTGGAAATAGGCTGACTATTCCTCAAAGGAAATAAAAAATGGTTCATCATGGGTTCTTACATTACGAAAATTGTCTCCTGAACATGAATTCTATTGGTAGTGTGAAATGTGAGTTATTATTGTCTGGATTCTTGGACGAAGCTGTTGCGCCCAAATGCACATGCAAGTGTACGTGATCGTGGAAGTAATAAAGTAGCTCTTTTTAAGAGTTGGATATCGTACCTACAAAGACATAAGATTTGATGGTATTTAATTCTTCAAATAACTAGAACTTAAAGCAAGTGTTTTCAGAAATAGTGAAGTATTATTCTAAATGATTAAGTATCTAAATCAATTAAGTAAACTACTATGATTAAATTTCAACTTGGAGTTCAAACAATGACTTGAGAAATTCCACGGCTACAACCTGCTATGGATTCATGAACTTGTCTTCTTTAATGGATGTCAATCGGTTATCGAATAACTGATTTCAGGGTTAAATGTATGATCATGGTCTCCCGATCTCTAATCGCCTACGGTAATTGGCAACCTAACTACATTGTTGAGTGGGATAGACTGAATCAATTA